GACCCGCTCTCACGTATTTTAGACCTGATTTTTACGGTTATATGTTACAAAGCCTTACATTTTAACCAAATACATTTCAACGGATGTTTCCAGAGATTGACGGTAAATACTGCTAGCATTTTTTAATTATCAAAGACATTTCTGTATTCAAAGGATTTAGTAGGAGGAGTTGAGCAGGATTTTTTGAGTATCCATGGAGATATTCCAGAGATTTTTACAGACTTTGCTTAATATCTCCTCTCTGCTAAAGTGACCACTGATATCTCAATCTCCAATGAGCCACAGCGTCTGGCTGAGCCTTAAGGTCAGATACTGCACATACCAGGTGCAGCTTCAGAAGTGACTCTGACATTAACCAGGAGGAGCCAGTCACCAAGCCAAACTCATCTGGAAAGCATCCAGGCTGCCACGAAACTCCAAACCAAACCCTCCCCACACACTTTTATCCATGCGACTCTTGCAGGAGCTTCTGGCAGAAGCTGCATGGTGACGTAATCCTGCAGCCATGACGCCATCCCGTATGATCGGCGGGTTTGCTCTGACTCACGGAGCGGGGGAGAATCCACATCTGTTTGTGGGCAGCTGTCACACATGCCTGGTGTCAACCACGGCCTGCGGCATGGGTCTGTCACAACGCTGCGTAATGTTGTGGATATTTTAGCCGGTATAACCAGACGGATCGCTGTTATCATGTCAAGTGCACGGGATTATTCTACCGCCTGGATGGGCTGCAGCCTCTACAAGTGAGACGGGACTGTGAAGCATTTTAGTCGGCTGGAGACACAAAGTCAGAAAGACCAAATGGTCTCACCAGGTGTCAAATAAAGAGCAGGAGTACGGCAACGATTGAGAAGGGAAGGAGAGATCCTCTTTCAAAGACAAAAACTGATTTTTTTAGTGCACCGGGGCTCATACAGTGGGGCAAAAAAGTATTTAGTCAGCCACCGATTGTGCAAGTTCTCCCACTTAAAATGATGACAGAGGTCAGTAATTTTCATCATAGGTACACTTCAACTGTGAGAGACAAAATGTGAAAAAAAAAATCCATGAATTCACATGGCAGGATTTTTAAAGAATTTATTTGTAAATCAGGGTGGAAAATAAGTATTTGGTCACTTCGAACAAGGAAAATCTCTGGCTCTCACAGACCTGTAACGTCTTCTTTAAGAAGCTTTTCTGTCCTCCACTTGTTACCCATTTTAATGGCACCTGTTTGAACTCATTATCTGTATAAAAGACACCTGTCCACAGCCTCAAACAGTCAGACTCCAAACTCCACTATGGCCAAGACCAAAGAGCTTTCGAAGGACACCAGGAAAAGAATTGTAGACCTGCACCAGACTGGGAAGAGTGAAACTACAATAGGCAAGCAGCTTGGTGTGAAAAAATCAACTGTGGGAGCAATTATCAGAAAATGGAAGACATACAAGACCACTGATAATCTCCCTCGATCTGGGGCTCCACGCAAGATCTCATCCCGTGGAGTCTAAATGATCATGAGAACGGTGAGCAAGAATCTCAGAACCACACGGGGGGACCTGGTGAATGACCTGCAGGAGAGCTGGGACCACAGTAACAAAGGTCACCATCAGTAACACACTACAACGGCAGGGAATCAAATCCTGCAGTGCCAGACGTGTTCCGCTGCTGAAGCCAGTGCATGTCCAGGCCCGTCTGAAGTTTGCCAGAGAGCACATGGATGATACAGCAGAGGATTGGGAGAATGTCATGTGGTCAGATGAAACCAAAGTAGAACTTTTTGGTATAAACTCAACTCGTCGTGTTTGGAGGAAGAAGATTACTGAGTTGCATCCCAAGAACACCATACCTACTGTGAAGCATGGGGGTGGGAACATCATGCTTTGGGGCTGTTTTTCTGCTAAGGGGACAGGACGACTGATCCGTGTTAAGGACAGAATGAATGGGGCCATGTATCGTGAGATTCTGAGCCAAAACCTCCTTCCATCAGTGAGAGCTTTGAAGATGAAATGTGGCTGGGTCTTCCAACACGACAATGATCCCAAACACACCGCCCGGGCAACAAAGGAGTGGCTCCGTAAGAAGCATTTGAAAGTCCTGGAGTGGCCTAGCCAGTCTCCAGACCTCAACCCCATAGAAAATCTGTGGAGGGAGTTGAAAGTCCGTGTTGCTCGGCGACAGCCCCAAAACATCACAGCTCTCGAGAAGATCTGCATGGAGGAATGGGCCAAAATACCAGCTACTGTGTGTGCAAACCTGGTAAAGACCTATAATAATTGTTTGACCTCTGTTATTGCCAACAAAGGTTATGTTACAAAGTATTGAGTTGAATTTTTGTTATTGACCAAATACTTATTTTCCACCCTGATTTACAAATAAATTCTTTAAAAATCCTGCCATGTGAATTCATGGATTTTTTTTCACATTCTGTCTCTCACAGTTGAAGTGTACCTATGATGTAAATTACTGACCTCTGTCATCATTTTAAGTGGGAGAACTTGCACAATCGGTGGCTGACTAAATACTTTTTTGCCCCACTGTATTTATCCAGAATTATTCTTAGGTAATTCTCAACCCTTCAAAATAAAATGCACAGGCCCCAGATCAGGACTGCTGACAGCATCCTATCACAGGCACGCATGAAGAGCTGAGAGACTCTTTTTGAGGAGGGTGAAAATAGAACTCAGGTGGTTATTTTAAACACCGCTGGAGACAAAATCCATCTTCTGACTCTCAACACAGAACTCTGAAAGGTCTGAAACCACCCTCTGAGATCTTGTTGGGTTTTGTTTGGATTTATTCAGCTTTTTTATGCTTTATTTTGTCTTTGTGCTCAATCGTGACACAGATTTTAGAGCGCTACCTTAAAATATGTTAGAAGTGGGGCCAGTGGAGGACTAAGAGAAGTGTTGGTTATAAAAATAACAATCTACAGCAGATCTGAAGGTTTTTTTAAGAGTAGAAAACGAAGTTCACCTGTCAGGAACGCGTCGTGTTTTCAGCCAGTACGTGATTGGGAATCACCTTGGTGGTGCTACAGGGATATTTTACCTTTACCTTCAGTCTTTTTCAAACATTCGACTAAAAGAAGGAGTTTTTTTCCCAGGTTGCTTTGCATCGACAGAGCTCCGTCATGCTCCGTGGCTTTTGCTATGCTTACGTTTTTATCGGAGGATCTAAAAGACAACAGACTGATGAGTTGTTGCTGCAGCAGAACCACGTCAGACAAAGATAGCAGCCCGACAAGCTCCTATTATTAGATTTAGACTCTAAAACCCGGAAACGGGGAAGGCGGTAGATTTGTTCACGGCTGGGAAAAAGACCATCAGGCTGCCTTTAGTTCTCCAGAGGATTTTAGACTCTGATGACATTTGTTTCCGTCAGACCTCCTTCTCCTTTTGTTGTTGCCTGCACGATCCTGCAAGTCTTTCATTTTTAAAACCACCTTTTAACAACACTGGTTCATCCCTTAAAGACACATTTCACTCATTTTTAAACCTATGTACAGTGGTCTCTAGAAACAAACACCTTGTGAGTCGATCTCTGTGGGAAAAGAGCTCTGACACTCCTGTTTCGGGAACTAGAAGTGAGCAGAAGACGACAGGATCTGGATTGTCAGACGTCTCTCTTCTGATTGGCTAACAGCAACACGACTCTACCACTGACTCCGTTTGCGCTGCAACGTTGACGTTTTATCTCCACAAATAACACACGCTTGGAGGAGTTCTGCTGTGTGGTGGAGTTGCTAATGCTAACAGTTTGCTTCCACTAGCTGAGACGCTAAACCAACAACAGCGTTCCCTGTCGTGAGTCAAGATGGGCGAGTCCATGAATGTTTAGTGACAGTGTGACGTAGATCTGTCGGGATTTTCTAAACGGAGCGTTTCCTTGTCTGTTCTCGGTGACTAAAGCAGGAAACAGCAGTAGAAGACAATTTTCACGTTTATCCTGCCTGTTAAACTCAGAGTGACTGATCATATTTTAAAAAGAACAAGTAAAAACCGTTTTTTGTGAAATTAGTATTTAAGTTTAATAACTTTTTTATTTTGAACTAATTAAATTTTTTTTTAAATGGAATAAAATAAAATAACACACCCATTGTGTTGAACTTTAGTAAGTGTTGCCCCATACCTCCACACAGTAACTTAAATATGGTAAAATTAATGCACAATAAAGAATACAAAGTGATTTTTGATTTAAGACATGCTTTGTTCGGTTCAACACTGATTATTGTTGGCTAATTTTGATTTAATATATTTAATATGAGGTTTCTGTTTGAGTAGTTCAAGGTCCAGAGGCCAATGACCTGGAAAACAAAAGAAAAAGCAGCATTCTTCTGGGAATCATCATGTACACAAACTGGACAAAATATAAGGAACAGAAAGCAGCAGGTTGCAGTAAAAATCAAAGAAGGCAAAGAACAACAAGAGGAGAAAGACTGATGACAGACATCAGCGTCAGAAATCATCAGGAGAAATCAGCCCTGAGCGCTTCTACGACCGTCCCCTTCCCCTCATTTTAGAGTCTGAATCTAATAATAAGAGCATTAATGTCAACGCTTGTCAGACTGCTATCACTGTCGGATGTTGGTGACGTGATTCTGCTGCAGGAAATCTCATAAAGTCCGTTGTTTTACATCATCAAAGACGTAAACGCGAGTTCTGTCGAAGCAAAACAACCTTTCAGATTCAACAGAAGGATTACAATCTGGAAGTTTGGTCTCAAACGCCTTTCCACTTTTTGCTGCAGATTGTTTGGAAGTCTGGATTATTGGAGCAAAATTTAGCGAACTGTGGGATTGTTCACGACTTTCTCACAGTACGGCTTATAGAAACGTGAGACTGTAGGATGGTTAAAGGGGATCAGGTATCGTCGGGCCGCGTTCTCACCAGCAGGTTCAAAGTGAAGGTGGGAGGGAGTAACTCAGGGCATCCTCACAGACACACAGCGGTTTAGACATCATTTCAACATGGATGTTAGGACATGCAATAAATGTCGGCATGAAGACAGCGACCACTTACCGCTTTGTCAAACTCCATCTCTGAAAAGAATTTATACCAAGGCTCATTCTCTAAATCTACATCTTCTGGACTTACATCCTGAGTCTAGGGGCATGGCGACAGGGGGAGGAGAAAGACAAAGAGAAGACAGTTCAGACAGAACAGCATAGACATAAAACTGTAGAGAGGCAACGTTTCCACCAAACAATACACAGTGTCTGTGGAAAGAGAGATGGATTGTGTTTCTCAGACCTTTTGTGTAAAAGTGCAGAACAAGGAAAAACATTCCCCTTTCATGCAAAGGTTAAGCTGAGAAAAGAGAGCAGCTGCTAAACGAAGCTTAGCAAAAAGACTGAGACACAGGTGAGACAGGAAGCCTGAAACAGTCCAACGGAAACCAGATCTGCTCGGCTGCACCTCTCCAGCACAGCAGTTACTATTTCATCTCCCATCTGTTTCCTTTTCACCTTTAGGTTGCCAAGGAGCAAACTGGGAAACCCCAGGAAGCCACCGCTCCGTGCCAAGCAAGAGCTGATTGTCTGTGTCGGACGATTCCAGTCTTTGTGCTTAGCTTCATATCTTAAAGGTCTCATTCGCAGAGGGACCGTGTAACACACGTGATCGCTCACGCTGAGTTTTAATGCTGACGGTGAGAAGCAGGGGCGGCGTTAGGCCCGGCTACTTGGGCTGAAGCCCCGGATCTTTCCTGTTAAGCCCCGGATCTAAATCGTGGAAGTAACATGCAGAACCAAAGTCCAACAGAGAGGGCGCAGCTGGCAGTAGTTTGTGTACAGCCTGCCTGAGCCTCCACCACTGAAGAAGAAGCCGTTCAGCAGCTGGCTTCTTCTACACTCTCTGCTTGAAACGCATGAGTGAAGATGGACATAAGGACGTTTTTTAGACCAAAAGTACTGCGACAGAACCCCAGCTTTGATGAGACTGGTGTTGACTCAGGTTTGTGAGTCTTATTTGAAAATAATTGTTGTGCTGCTGGTTTGCCTAAAGTTAGCTTACTAGTTGTTGGAGAAAGAAAGGGAATATTTACTATCATCTCACACTAAACACTAACAGGAACAATACTCTGCCCTGAATATGCTTAATATGTAGCTTCAGATTAAAAATTATGTGGTACAAGATTTATATATATGATGTTGACTAGTGCGTGTCACGTGTGTGTGCGCGCGTGTGTTAAGCCCCGGATCTTCTTCAGTCCTAAATCCGCCCCTGGTGAGAAGGGAGGGAAAGTGAGTGATCATGGCCCCGCCTACCTCGGCTTGGGACCGCCAGAGCAGAGCAGCTCTCGGTAAGTAGCGTTAGGCGAGTGAAAGCAGCACAGCAGTCACATTGCTGTTAGCCAATCAGAGGGGAGATGTTTGCATGTCATGAATATTGATGAGTAAGCCTTGTAAACCTGCCACCCTCCCTACAAACCTTTACCCCTGAAACAGAAGCACGAGAGCATTCATTCATATTCATGAATAAAAATGAGTGAATGAGATCTTTAAAGAATAAAAATTCATTCCATCTGATTATGACACATTTCACAAACATCAGAAAAGAAACATTTTCCCATTTAAATTCAAAGCAAGGAGAGGGAAGACCTCTTATGATGAATTATATAAATGGAAACCGTGTTCCCTCACCTGGACGTGGGTCACCGGGGCCCCCCTCTGGAGCCAGGCCTGGAGGTGGGGCACTTTGGCGAGCGCCTGGTGGCCGGGCTTTCACCCATGGAGCCCGGCCGGGCACAGCCCGAAGAGGAAACGTGGGTGCCCCTTCCCATGGGCTCAACACTCGTGGGAGGGGCCAAAGGGGTCGGGTGCAATGTGTGACGGGTGGTAGTCGAGGGCGGGGACCTTGGCGGTCTGATCCTCGGCTACAGAATCTGGCTCTTGGCACATGGAGTGTCACCTCTCTGGTGGTGAAGGAGCCTGAGTTGGTGTGTGAGGTTGAGAGGTTCCGACTAGATATAGTCGGACTCACCTCAACGCATGGCTCTGGCTCTGGAACCAGTTTCCCTGAGAGGGGTTGGACTTTCTACCACTCTGGAGTTGCTCCCACTGAGCGGGGGTGGGCATACTAGTTGCCCCCCATCCTGGTGCCTGTACGGTGGGGTTTACCCCAGTGAATGAAAGGGTAGCCTCCCTCCGCCTACGTGTGGGGGGACGGGTTCTGACTGTGGTCTGTGCTAATGCACCAAACTACAGTTCAGACTACCCACCCTTTTTGGAGACCTTGGAGGGGTGCTGGAAAGCGCTCCTTCTGGTGACTCCCTCGTTCTGCTGGGGGACTTTAACGCTCACGTGGGCAATGACAGTGAGACCTGGAGAGGTGTGGTTGGGAGGAACGGCCCCCCTGATCTGAATTCGAGTGGTGTTTTGTTATTGGACTTCTGTGCCAGTCATGGATTGTCCATAATGAACACCATGTTCAGACATAAAGGTGTCCATATGTGCTCTTGGCACCAGGATACCTTAGGCCGCAGCTCACTGATCGACTTTGTTGTTGTTTCATCTGACCTGCTGCCGCATGTCTTGGACACTCGGGTGAAGAGAGGGCGGAGCTGTCAACTGACCACTACCTGGTGGTGAGTTGGCTCAGATGGTGGGGGAGGATGCTGGCCAGACCAGGCAGGCCCAAATGTATCACGAGGATCTGCTGGGAACGTCTGGCAGAGTCTCCTGTCAGAAGGAGCTTCAATTCCCACCTTAGAGTAAACTTCCAAAATGTTCCGGGGGAGGCGGGGGACATTGAGTCTGAATGGACCCTGTTTCGTGCCTCCATTGTTGAGGCGGCCGACTGGAGCTGTGGTCGCAGGATCGTCGGTGCCCGTCGTGGTGGTAACCCCCGAACCCGCTGGAGGACACCGGCGGTTAGGGATGCTGTCAAGCTGAAGAAAGAGTCCCAAGACTATCTATAGTGGGGACGGTGTGCTGCTGACCTCTACTCAGGACGTTTTGGATCGGTGGGCAGAATACTTCGAAGGCCTCCTCAATCCCACCGACACGTCTTCCAGTGAGGAAGCAGAGTCTGGGGACTTTGGGTTGGCCTCTCAAAACTCTGGTGCTGAGGTCTCTGAGGTGGTTAAAAAGCTCCTCTGTGGCAAGGCTCCAGGGGTGGATGAGATCCGCCCAGAGTTCCTTAAGGCTCTGGATGTTGTGGGGCTGTGTTGGCTGACACGGCTCTGCAATTTCGCGTGGACATCAGGGGCAGTCCCACTGGACTGGCAGACCAGGGTGGTGTTCCAACTACAGGGGGATCACACTCCTAAGCCTACCTGGTTAGGTCTATTCAGGGGTTCTGGAGAGGAGGGTCCGTCGGATTGTTGAACCTCAGATTCAAGAGGAGCAATGTGGTTTTTGTCCTGGCCGTGGAACACTGGACCAGCTCTATACCCTTAGAGGGATCCTGGAGGATGCGTGGGAATTTGCCCAACCAGTCTACATGTGTTTTGTGGATTTGGAGAAGGCGTTTGACCGCGTCCCTCGGGGGGCCCTGTGGGGGGTACTCCGGGAGTATGGGGTACCAGGCCCTCTGATACGGGCTGTTAGGTCCCTGTATGACCGGTGTCAGAGCTTGGTCCGCATTGCCGGCAGTAAGTCGGGCTCGTTCCCAGTGAGAGTTGGACTCTGCCAAGACTGCCCTTTGTCACCGATTCTGTTCATAACCTTTATGGACAGGATTTCTAGGCACAGCCAAGGTGTGGAGGGCATCTGTTTTGGTGGCCTGAGGATCAGGTCTCTGCTTTTTGCAGATCATGTGGTCCTGTTGGCTTCATCAGAACGTGATCTTCAGCTTTTGCTGGAGCGGTTCGCAGCCGAGTGTGAAGCAGCTGGGATGAGAATCAACTCCTCTAAATCTGAGACCATGGTCTTGATTCGGAAAAGCGTAGAATTCCTTCTCCGGGTCAGGGATGAGGTCCTGCCCCAAGTGGAGGAGTTTAAGTATCTCGGGGTCTTGTTCACGAGTGAGGGAAAACTGGAGCGTGAGATAAATAGGAGGATTGGTGCTGCATCTGCAGTGATGCGGGCGTTGTACCGGTCTGTGGTGGTGAAGAGAGAGCTGAGTCAGAAGGCGAAGCTCTCGATTTACCGGTTGATCTACGTTCCTACCCTCACCTATGGTCATGAGCTTTGGGTAGTGGCCGAAAGAACGAGATCACGGATACAAGCGGTCGAAATGAGTTTTCTCCGAAAAGTGGCTGGGCTCTCCCTTAGAGATAGGGTGAGAATCTCGGTCATTCGGGAGGGGCTCGGAGTAGACCCACTGCTCCTCCACATTGAGAGGAGCCAAATGAGGTGGCTCGGGCATCTGGTCAGGATGCCTCCTGGACGCCTCCCTGGTGAGGTTTTCCGGGCACTTCCAACCGGGAGGAGACTTAAAGGTAGACCCAGGACACGGTGGAGGGACTATGTCTCTCACCTGGCCAGGGAACGCCTTGGGATTCCCCGGAGGAGCTGGCCCAAGTGGCTGGGGAGAAGGAAGTCTGGGCCTCTCGCCTTAGGCTACTGTCCCCGCGACCCGACTCCGGATAAGCGGATGAAAATAGATGGAATGGTTGGATGGATGGATGGAGACGGAAAAATATAACTTATTCACTGCCAATGACGACTAAAGTCGTCATTTCCATTTTTCTACTGTGTGGGTGTCGGACGAGCCCCCGCACCGTGAGAACTAACATCTCAGCTCTAAACTCGATCTTCATCCGTATGCGTCACACGTCACGTGATCAGGAAGCAGAACATCCATGTGTTAGGAGATCATTTTGGGCCGCTGCTGTGACAGAAGTGAGGCGCGAACCGGAAAAACTTCTGCCGATCACAATTCAACAACGGATTATGAAAGAATGGAAAACGCTCGAAACGCGCAGATTCTTCCTGATGTAAGAGGTGAGTCTCCTCTTTGTTTTGGTTGTTTTGGCGTTGACATCATGCTAGCGCGCAACGTTCTGTGATTCTTAAAAAACCCAGTAAAAATGGTGAGAAACGCTTGCAGCGAGAGCTTTACCGATCAGGAAACGGCTGGCAGCGAATGAGTTAAAATCATCAATAGAAATAATTATTATAAAACCAAACAAGCACCCCCTTGTGGCTGGCTGCAGTACAAGCTTTAAGCCTCACCCCCTCCATGTAGATAAACGGGACAAAAACATAATTTTTTATTAGTTTTTCTTTTTTTTTTTTTTTGTTGCAATTGGATTTTTCATAAAACACCATGAATGTGTGTGTCTTTAGATCAGACTCTGGTCTAAAAAATGCATCCGACACAGAAGTTTTACTGCAACAAACCCGATCCACTTCAGTAAATGCACGATCACTCCCCATCCTATTTCTACATGCTGTTCTGCACGTTTTAAAGAAATAACTTTTAAGAGCGTCCCAACGTGAGATGAATGGAGGCAGAAGTGGCGCTGAGCTTGTAATTGAAAAATAGCTGAGTTGATTATTTCACTGAGGCCCCAGGGTCCCCGTGAGGACACTAATGAGTACACCGTTTGGCACCAGGACCAGAAAACAACCTACCGGCTTGATCTGACTGGGCATCAAACCAGAGGTGATTACATAACTGGTTTCTACTCAGAGCAATGAATAAAAATCTGAGCTTTTTTATATTTAAATGCAGAAAAAAGGTGCCTCCGTGAGTGGATTGTAGGTTTTATTCAAAACTACTTGATCAGGAGATGAAAGTTGGATGGAGTAACCCACTAGACCCATGCCTCCTGTCTGAGCTGAAGGCTGCACCTAGCAAACTGAGCCCTTTCACCTCATACTAAAGAGAGGAAGACAACGGCTATGATAAATTGATACTCCCCCGCTTACTTCCAAACAGGCTTGTCTTTCCCTGTAACGGGACACCCTTTGGGAATGTGGTGGTTACACGCGTCACCCCCTGAGCTGTTAGTGCAGCCGCCAGGCTGGATGGGAGGGGGTGGACGATGGGTGCAGAGGGGGACAGCTCACACGACACTCAGACAGAGAGGGAGGGAAAAACAGGAAAATGCCTGGCCTACCGTTCTCTCCAGCTTCAGCACGGACGACTTCCCCGGCTCATACTCAAAGATGCTCCTGGGCTCGGCGCGATACTTCCTGGTGTCTACCTTTTTATCCGGGGGCTCCCACTCGTTCCTGCTAAGAGCCAGACATCGGGGAGGGGTGTGGTGCGGGATGGAAGACAGCCCATCCTTATTGAGTGGTCTCCATGGCAACCAGCATAAGGCAGAGATTATTTATTTATTTATTTAGATAAAACGTGATTCAGCGGTCTCCTCCTCCAACAGTGACACAACAGAAACTTGGATTCGCGGTTCAGGCTAACAGACACACAAGGTAAACTTTACATTAGTAAACATAAATGGTCATTTATTTACCCTCACCGGAGCACAAACCCATCCAGGAAGGCCCGTCCTGTGCTGATCATCCGCTTTTACTACTGCTGCTATTTATGTGTCCCCATCATCTCAGCCCCCTTGTTGTGGTCGAAGGGTTTATTTAACCTCCATCATCCGGTCTGGGGCGTCATCTCCTAGTCGGGTCTGTCGTTGCAACCTGAGCTTGTTGGAAAGTCCTTGGTGGCTAAGCCTGGGCTCCTGCGGCTTGGCCGAGCCTGAAAGGACACCGCCTCCACGTGGGCCCACCACCTGCGGGCGGAGTAGCTGAGGGTGTTGTAGGAAACGAGCTGTAGCTGCTGTGATGGTAAACAATATCAGCTCGATTTAGTTGGGATTATCCCGATGCCAATCCAGACTCTGGAACTGAAACACCTGGAAGGTGGGTGGACACTCTTAGAGCCGGGCGAAGCCTCAGTTCCGTCTGGTGTTCGTACTCATTAACAGTCGATCAGATTATCCCAGAACTCCGAGAGTCTCTAAATGTCGTCCTGGAAGACTACGGTGTGAAGATTCCATAATTCTCCAAGTTGCCTATCTAGGCCGTACCTGGAGTGATGTCATTGGCCTTCGCGATCTGAGTTAGAGTGTTCTGCCAATGGACTCGTGTGCTAGGTGTGGACTGAAGGTGAGTCATCACACCTGAGCTGTTGAGCTGGAGTGACAGACCCGATGAGGGTCTCTCTGTCCAGCTGACAGGCACAAAGAGGACAAAAGAATATTCCGGAAGGCCACGGGGAGGGAATCCCCGTTTGTCTCGAGGAAGTTCTGGTGAATGGTCTGAAAATTCAGAAATAACCCGTGCTGTGCTCGTGTTGGGTCTAGTGGTGGAGACCTCCTTATGGACCCGGGACGTGGTGGCACCGCGGGAGGAAGTGCCCTGAGATGCTTCAGGTTTTTGATGTTGTGACTGAAACACTTCAATCTGGAAAATGCCTTCAGGACCCATCTCACCCTGTTCAGATAACCATTCTGGATGGTTTCCATATTCCTGGAGGGTGCTCCTGAGGACATTGCTGCTTAGGTGTACACTAGATGACTGAGAAAGGATAATTATAACCTTTCTTTGCTGTTTACTCACCTTTTGGCTGAGGCCTTGAGAGACGAGGACCTCGTTGGCACCGGCATTGATCTGCCTCTTGAATCGACCTGAGTGTCGCTTTTGGAGTGCGGGAATCCTTTTCCTGAAAACCGGCACAGAGTTACAGACGGCCATCCATAGCACGGTAACTTAATGCTGACTGAAGATTCAAACGGATTTTTATAGGTGACTCTAAACACTCACCATGTTCTGGATAACTGACGTGGATGGAATTGTTATCTGGAAAAGCAGAATTCCTGCGTTAGCTCAAATCCGTCTGTGTGTAATTAGATTGGAAGTTGCGTATAAATCACAGAACTAAATAATTCAGAAGGCATTAAAAAATCCCACTCTCCATTAGTCCGACATCACCAAATCAAAGCACTTTACGGGAAGCATTAGGGAGCTTAAAAAGGATCTGAGCATCAAGGATTCAGACCAGGAGCACAGCATCCAGCGAGATCTCTGGATGGAGTCATGTCCAACCTTTTGCACAAACCAACCTCTGTACATTTTATATCTCTATTGTTTACTTTATTCGTTTGTAAAACATGTATATACACACACTCACACGCACACACGTAGAAAAATAAATAAAATACTAGCACACACATTTAGTAATGCACATACCTTACATACTATACATATTATTACTTAGATTAGCCATTTTATATATTTTGCTTGTTTTTACATTACTGTATTTTTGCACAACTCTGTTGCTGTGAAGCTCGCACACAAGAATTTCACTCGCATGTACTGTACCAGTGTACCTGCACATGTGACGTGACAATAAAAGTGATTTGATTTGATTTGTTCATTCTCCCTGATTCAGCAGTCATCCCAGACTAATGGAAAATAATGTTCAGGAATGATTTCTACAGGTTCACTAGAAGGGACCGATCCTGTTGTCTTCCGTTCTTTCGTCCTCTCATCAGGACCATTAAAGAACCAACGCAGCTCTGCAGCGACACCTGGTGGAGACAACTGAACACTACTGTCAAACAGCAGCAGGCTGTCTGGTGACGCACGACAGCAAAGTAGTTCCTAACTGGAAATGCGTTTAAATACGCCGCAAGTTCATTCATGACTGATAATGCTATGAGAGAAAACAACTGATGTCAAATAAAATGTAAAGCTTGAAAGCTTTGAGCCTTATCCTCAGTTTGTTATGAGCAAATGAATAAAAAACATACAATTAAAACGGATTATCGATGCATTTCCAACCACAGTTTAATGAACATGAATTATTACGTTTTTATCGGACTTGTAAGGATTAAAAAGGCAGCGGAGGCTAACTTGACCCTGGTTGAAAGGTGGTTATGCACTGAGCGAAGGACACGGTCGCCCTCAGCTGTCCGCTGCACTAATCCGTTCTACACATCACAGCACGTAACATACGCTCGTCGAAAGAACAACATTCTGCATCTAAAAAGGGCAAAGTCAAGTCCATCAGACCTGCAGCAGTGAACACCAGGTAAACACCTGATTGGTCCAACTCCAGGTTTACTCCACGAAACAATGCCATGTGTGAGCAGTAGGGCCCGACCGATATGCTTATTTGGGACCGATACTGATACAGATATAAAACCTTTAACAAAGGCCGATAGCCGATATAATGGCCGATGAATATTCCTCACAAAAAAAATTTAATAAATAAAAATTTCTTAAGCTCAAACCCTTCATTCTCTGCCTTTTTGATGCAATCTTATTTCTCTATTACACACCAAAGAACTGTCTCCATAGCTCACTCGGGTTTCCAGGTAATGCAAATAAGATTTATTTAGCAGATCTCAAAAACAACAGAACACACAAACTCAGTGACAGCATAAATCTAACGTTCCAGTTTTTCCTTGTAAACTGTGGTTTCCACAAATACATTTTAACTTAAAGGAATATTCCACCACTCAGTAAAATTGTGTCTTGTTAAGATTCCCCAGAGTTAGACAAGTCAGAAAAAGCATTTTATAACCAGCCCAATATGACCTGGCAGCAGTTGGTTTTCCTAAGCCGGGCGGACACTGTGCGACTTTTTCACTCGCAGCGTTCAGCTTCAGCTCAAACTGTACGACTTCCTCGCAGAGCAGATCTCACGAGTCATGTGCTCACACTGTACGTCTGGTAGCAACACGTCAGCCCTAAAAATATGCTAAAAATAGCAGTTTTTACTCAACACGTCGGACTTTTTTGTCTTGTTTTGCCTGTTGTCCTTCGGGAGTGCTGCAGGAGGACACACAGGGATTTATGGGGGTTGGACGAGGAAAAAGAAATAAAGAAAGTAAATCTGTGTTTTGTGATCAGTTTAATTTGACATGAACACGACAAACACGCTTTCTTGACAATCTTTGTGAGTAAAAAAACGTGTAGAAACAAAAACGAACAGCGTGTGTTATTAGGGAAACAGCGAGCTGCGTTGATGCAGGATTGCGCATGCGCCGTGAGCGGTTCTGGTACTTTTTGGGTCGCAGCTGCTCGCAGCGCCGCTTCAACAGTGCGATACCCTCACGAGGGACGAGCGAAATTTTAAACACGCCAGAAGTCCGTGCGACCTCACGACTGCTGATCGGCAGCTGGTCACGTGGTGTTAATCGCCTCTCGTAACCCCCTGTACACTACACGACCGCTCGGCGCAAAACTCGCCCCGATGTCGTGGATTCTCGCACGACTGGAAAATCGGCTCAAAAAAGTGAAAATGTCGCACAGTGTACGCCCGGCTTTAGTTTAGCGTAAAACAACGTAAGCGAATTCACAAACATTGTAGTGTTTTTATGTAGGTGAATGCAAGCCTTCCCTTCCATTGCTTTATGCTAAAACAACAGGTTACAACAGGTTTTTTCTGACTTGGCTAACTCTGGGGATTCTAACAACACACACACGTTTAGGGACAGAAGATCCCTGTAAGAATATTAAAATAATAAAAATGCAGCAGTAAATAAAACGTAATACGTGTGCTTTGTAACAAAGTAACACTGAGGAAGTTAACTTGGTGAAATTTTTCACCCTGGACAGGAAATAATTGCACATAAGAAACATAAATAAGAATAAATTTAAAAAAGTTCCAAAACAATAATTTGTGTTCAAAGTTCAAAAGAGAGGAGCCACACAACATGAGTTCATAAAGCTGGCGCCATCTGCTGGATAGGTAGCGCAATATCAGCCATGTCGTCGTCTTTTTGGCTGATAGCCGATACTGTTAATGACCCCAATATCGGCCGATAATATCGGCCGGCCGATATATTGATCGGGCCCTAGTGAGCAGCACTGAGAAGAGCTTATTCACGTGAAAAACTCTAAAAACATAAACTAATCTAAAACTTACACGAGGCTCTAAGAAGATGCTGCAAACGCATCATAAAGCACAGCAGCCCAACCCCATCAGTGTTTATTGAGGATAAAAACAGCTCTTTGGATGGAAATGGTTCCGGACACTCTGAACGTGAGCTGTGTGGAGGTGGAGGTGGAGGGACTGAACTTTCTTGCCACGTATTTAAATGATCTGCAAATATGAGGCAGGTTTGTAAAGGTAAAAAGGCTAAACGGGGTTTAGGGGTTGAAGCCTTGAGGATAGCTGTTCCCTTTAGCGTAGTTGTATCTGCGTTTTTTCCTAAAACAGAAATATGTCAGTGGGACACACACAGCACAGACAAGCACAACCACTACACGATGCTGGACCTCTGCAACGCTTAATGGTTTCCCTAAATCCAGACAAAAAGCCCGAATCACAATGACCAACTGATGGAATCATCTTAGCTATCCGTGCTTGGATGTGTACTTCACAAGGTCGTGTTCTACGGACTAGTGCGTCTTAGGGATCGAGCAAGATGGCAGCAGATTCGTGAGCCAACGAGAGACATCAAATACCTTTAGATTTCATGCCAATGTCATCGAACATGTAGGTGGGGCGGTACAGATTTTCCTCAATGGGCTCTGAGCAGAGACAAAGGACAGCATGAAGACGCATGAAGCACATTCTTGACAGCAACAGAAAAAACACACAAACACAAAGAAAACCGCTTACCAGGTATCTTATGGATCTGTTTGAACATGGTCTTGTACCAGTCTTTGGTCTTTTCAGTGTTCTGAAATCAGAACGTGAAAAATGGTGAATTAAAGCACAATTTGAGGCGGATAGCAGATGTGTTAGAGTTCTGTTCTCCTCTGCAACACGCTACAGATAATTCAGATCTGCTTTTGGAGAATAATGGGCCATTCCCATGTGTACCGGGTTGGCCCGGGCCGGGTAGCGTAGGTTGTTTACATATCTGGGTGGCCTGGTATTTTTCCGGGCCAACCAAGGCTCATTCTCAGCCCTCTTCTCGAGGGGGTCTGCTTCAGGCCGACCAGGGCCAACACACCCACTGCTGACAGCAAATTCACACCTTCCATTAGAGCAAGCTCTGATTGGTGGGTAGAATCAGCCCACATGGGCTTAAGACAAGGATGTGTGGAATCAACCGGGTCAGGCTGGGGCCGACTGGGGCTACCCGGCCCGGGCCGACCCGGTACAGATGGGAATGGCCCATAAAACATCATTTGCTGCTTTGTAAACTTTTTAACCTGCAAATATCCTAAACCTCCACCGGGAGGACCTGCAGCCCCAACAGCTCCCCGCATCCCTGTGCTGATTTGAATTCTGGTTCCAGAACTTTGACGACCGTAAGACAACGGCAGTACCTTTAAAAACACTAAATCTCACAAATGTTGAGAAAAAAAAATGTCTCAGAGGCCTTTGATTTGACATAAACGCAACGCCAACCCTAGCAGGATGCAGAGTCCGTTCGGCCCCTACAGATAACAGGGTCAGGTTATATGAACCCCACCAGGAAATAAATACAGGAACACCATACAACTATCCCACTGGATCTCCACGCAAATATGGAATGAGTTGTTTAAACAAAAAAATGCCACATCATCTTAATTCAATGTCATTCTCTGAAATCAGAATGGTCCTCTATAGTTTGTGTGGCCCTCAGGTGTGCGTGTGGACTTCAGGTGCGCGTGTGGACTTCAGGTGTGCGTGTGGACTTCAGGTGCAGGTGTGCGTGTGGACTTCAGGTGCGCGTGTGGACTTCAGGTGCAGGTGCGCGTGTGGACTTCAGGTGCAGGTGTGCGTGTGGACTTCAGGTGTGCGTGTGGACTTCAGGTGTGCGTGTGGACTTCAGGTGCGCGTGTGGACTTCAGGTGCGCGTGTGGACTTCAGGTGCAGGTGTGCGTGTGGACTTCAGGTGCGCGTGTGGACTTCAGGTGCAGGTGCGCGTGTGGACTTCAGGTGCGCGTGTGGACTTCAGGTGCAGGTGCGCGTGTGGACTTCAGGTGCAGGTGTGTGTGTGGACTTCAGGTGCAGGTGTGTGTGTGGACTTCAGGTGCAGGTGCGCGTGTGGACTTCAGGTGCAGGTGTGCGTGTGGACTTCAGGTGCAGGTGTGCGTGTGGACTTCAGGTGCAGGTGCGCGTGTGGACTTCAGGTGCAGGTGCGCGTGTGGACTTCAGGTGCAGGTGCGCGTGTGGACTTCAGGTGCAGGTGTGCGTGTGGACTTCAGGTGCAGGTGCGCGTGTGGACTTCAGGTGTGCGTGTGGACTTCAGGTGTGCGTGTGGACTTCAGGTGTGCGTGTGGACTTCAGGTGTGCGTGTGGACTTCAGGTGCGAGTGTGGCCTTCAGGTGCGGGTGTGGCCTTCAGGTGCGGGTGTGGCCTTCAGGTGCAGGTGCGCGTGTGGCCTTCAGGTGCGTGTGTGACCTTCAGGAGTGTGGACTTCAGGTGCGCGTGTGGCCTTCAGGTGCGAGTGTGGCCTTCAGGTGCGGGTGTGGCCTTCAGGTGCGGGTGCGCGTGTGGCCTTCAGGTGCGAGTGTGGCCTTCAGGTGCGTGTGTGACCTTCAGGAGTGTGGACTTCAGGTGCGCGTGTGGCCTTCAGGTGCGGGTGTGGCCTTCAGGTGCGGGTGCGCGTGTGGCCTTCAGGTGCGAGTGTGGCCTTCAGGTGCGAGTGTGGCCTTCAGGTGCAGGTGCGCGTGTGGACTTCAGGTGTGCGTGTGGACTTCAGGTGCGAGTGTGGCCTTCAGGTGCGGGTGCGCGTGTGGACTTCAGGTGCGTGTGTGACCTTCAGGAGTGTGGACTTCAGGTGCGCGTGTGGCCTTCAGGTGCGAGTGTGGCCTTCAGGTGCGAGTGTGGCCTTCAGGTGCGGGTGCGCGTGTGGCCTTCAGGTGCGTGTCAGCTGAAAGTCTCAGCTACAAGCTCTTGGTGTCTGAAGGTTCCATTGGACTTAAATCATGCGAGGTTGGAGGTCAGTCAGTGGCATCAGTACCTTCATCCTTATGGAACTGTCTATTGCCACATGGAGACAAGCGTCATCATGCACCTGCACAGGTCTGTAAGTCCCTACGTGGACATGTCCCTTCCCAAGACTAACACTGACCCACCACCAATCGACCCTTGATGAGGGCAGCATGATATTCACTACGACTTATCCAGCCCTTTACCTGTGGAAACCAAAAGGCACCAGTGCTGGATCTGCCAGTTCTGGTGGAGCTCCATGGTCCCAGGCAGTGGGTAGAGGACATCGGGACCTCATGCTACCCGCATGAAATCTGTTTCTAATGGTTTGGTCACCAGAGGCCTGCTGAAGCTCTGGCATCTTGTTCCGCCTAGCACAAAGCAGCAGATACCCATACTGCTAATGGATGAAGGACTTTTGATGGTCCTGTCTAACTCCAGGAGTCTGCTGCTCCGAGACTGCTGGAAGACCAAGCAAACCTGTAGAGATGTGCCATCCTGGTGGAGCAGGATTGAACGTGGTGGTCCATTTGATCAGAACCAACAAGAGGAGAAACGTCTTCAAGCAACAGAAGAAAAAGTCCAGTTTTGTTTGTGGACTTGTTAGGAACACAAACATTCACATCCTGTCTTCTTCACTGTGACAGAAATGACTTCCTGTAAACAAAGCGCCCTTTACAAAGAGAGACTGCATTTGTCTTCATTGGACAGTCGGTTCGGTCGCTCACCCGCACAGGAACAATCGGCTTGTTGAGGGGAGCGGGGACAGGAGAGCTCAGTGACAGCCTCGGCCTCTTCCCGTCCATATCAGAGACCGGACTGACGGAGTCGCTGCCGGGATCGGGACTTCGGTCTCTCTCTGGGCTCGAGTCTGTAAACAGCAACAAAAATGAACAACACTGATATTCAGAACACATCTATTCAACAGATAACTGTTCTACAAGGTGAAGGTCAAAGCTCCACATTCGGTAAAGACAGTAAAAGGTGCGCAGTGCGCAAACGTTGCCACCAGCAGTAAAATGTAGCACTTCCCATGCATCCGAGGGACAAATTCTGCAGGAATTTCTAAGCATTGAGCAAAATAACCATGTGGTGCAGAGTAAAAGGTTACAATTTGGGCCGGGACTTTAACGCGTTAATTATGATTAATTAATTAATTAGAAAGCCTCTAATTAATTAGATTAAATGTTTTTATCGAGTCACGGCCCTAGTTACAATATAACGTTTGCTTGCATCCGTGTGAGCTTTTGCATTTCACAATACTTCGTTATTATGGTAGAAATATTTTTTTAAAGTCTTGCTGGAATGATGAATAACCACAGAACTACAAAGCAACACCAGTACCATGTGCAAAGATGTCTAGGAAAATGTGAAACTCACCTCGGTCGTGTTGCGTCAGGACGGCGACGGGGTTCACCGCGCTGGAGCCCAGATAAACCGAGCGAGGATTTGATGGGATGCGGTTCTGGCTGTCGGCGGTGGGAGGAACTGGATTTATGCTGTTGGATGAAACGGCCTGAAAATGGTTTGAGAAAAACGGTTTAGGGCTTAAAGAGTCGTGAAAACAAAAGCTGTCGTGGTTACCTGGCACTGGGCGCTGTTTTCAGGAGGTAGGCGTGATGCGTTGCTGCTGCCTCCCTCGGCCGGTCCCGCTTTACAGCCGTCTCCATTAATCTGGTTGGTCCAGCCACCTGAAAAGAGTCCAGAACTTTCCTCACCACAGCAGCCAGGAGAAAAACACAGGAGGGGTTCCTAAAGACGGCGGCATTTCAGGCATAACCGATAACTGCAGCTGGGATAAGCGTTCACTCATCCAGCGATGCTGTCGCTGGGCGGTTTCATGCACTGAGCTGCTGATAAATCCATGCAAAAAAACAAAAAACAAAAAAAAAACACGACTCTCCCACAATGTCTGAACTTTGTCACAAGAATAAAAAGAGCATTCAGTCAGCTGCAAAGATCATCTGTTCCGACAGTCTTTTTTCTCCTTTGAGACAATTAAAACATCTCTGCAAAGCCTCGGCAGGCTGCCAGTCCGGCTCCGGCGTGCCCTATGAAACAAGTGAGCCCACAGTCCCAAAAGTGCAGCGTGGGCAGGATGGAACAAGGGAGGCCTTTGACCTGCACACAGAAATATGAGCGATTTCCCCCCATGAGTATGGCTCTACATACACTTCATAACACGGTGAGTATGAGCCGAGCGTCGGGAAGCAACATGGAAAACATCAGAGGAATTTTTACGAATAAATAACATTATCACAAATAAAACCAACATTTAAACAACAAAATGTTTTTCTCTACATGCCCACGAGGTTAATGTGGTGTTTGTCGGTTAAAATAAGTGACAGCAACTGAACTGAGGTACTACAACAAGTGACTCGCTCCTGTTCTGAGTTTCACGACGGTGTGTTGCGGGTCAGCACCAGAAGATTCTGGATGACAAAGCAGAGACAAGGTTTGGGTCAAAGCTTCTGCTAAATTCAAAAACATTATTACGTAAAAAAAAGAATACTTTTTATTCTCTGATGTTTGATATTCTCAAATTTGTAAGAAAATATATTACATTACATTCTGAAAATAAAATTTATATTGTATTTGATATTTATAAATTCGCAAGAAAATAAAAGTCAACATTTCAGAATAAAAGTTTTTTTTTTAATCAAAGACAGTTCAAGATGCTTTCTGAAATCATAAAACTCCTAAATATGCAAGAAAAAAAATATCTGGGAAAAAAGTTATTATAAAGGATTTATTTTAAAATATTAAAAACATTGGATTATCTTAAAAAAGGGGGTTAAAATTTTAAACTGAAATTAATCCATCCATCCATTTTCTGAACCCACTTGTCTACGTGGGGTCGCGGCGGGGGGGGGGGGGGGGGGGGTTGCCTGGCTGGTGCCTATCACCAGCGGCGAATGGGCAATCAGGCGGGCGGGGTATACCCTGGACAGAGAGTCAGTCCATCGCAGGGCAACACAAAGACACACAAGACAAACAATCATGCACACACACACACACACACACACACACACACACACACACACACACACACACACACACACACACCTGAGAACAATTTAGACAGACCAATCAACCTAACAGTGATGTTTTTGGACTGTGGGAGGAAGCCGGAGTACCCAGAGAGAACCTACGCATGCACAGGGAGAACATGCAAACTCCATGCAGAAAGATCCCAGGCCGGGAAGCGAACCCAGGACCTTCCTGCTGCAAGGCAACAGCTCTAACCACTGCGCCACTGCATAGCTGAAATGAAAATTTTCTGATTAAAAACAACCAGGAAATCTGCTTTTACTTTGAAAGAGTCTCATAAGCAATGGAACCGTAATATCAAGTCAAAACGAGCATAAGAAAATCCTGATCTAGCCTTTAAGTAGGAATGGGCGTGTCAGAAGTGAATGATGGGTTTGTGACATCACACAGACATCCAAGGAGAACTTTGACATTTAGGGTCTTTTCCACTTTTTCCCAGACTTTTGTTTTTTCTACATTTGAGTTTTTTCCCCAGTAAATCTAAACAACATCTAGATGTCTTTGCTGCAAAATTTTCTTTTCTTTTTTACTTTGAAATTTATGAATCTCAGTAAACATTTGAGGAATTTTTTCTGGAAAGCGATTTAAATCAGAAATTCTGCTCTTATTTCTGTAAATTTATTATTTAATGAAGAAAATGTAAACTTTTTCTTGCAAATGTGATTTTTATTATCAACAGTCATTATTGTGAGATTTTCCCTTATAACCCTCCAACTGTCCTAGTGGGTAACCTCGCTAGGAAAGTTGACCATCGAGCAGGGTTCACAGTTGATCTCTTGAGGTCCACGTGGCAGGGGTGAGGTGGTGCTCACTCCTCACCCCTGCCACTTGGACCTCAAGGGATAAACCATGAACCCATGAGACACTAAGCCGTTTTTAACACTTTAACCAACTGAACATCGGCGTGGTCACCCCTCATTTCAGGAAGCTAAGGGAGGCTACAACATCGTAGGCTGATGGTGACCTGGCTTTGTTGCTACAGGTCTTGTAAGTAATATTTTTTGTCCAAAAGTGTGGATCTTTTTCCTTCGTGGTTTATTTAGTAAGACTTGGCTCGTGTTAGTGTTGGGAACGTTACTTTAAATAAGTAGTTATAATTACTGATTAGTTTGTCAAAAAAGTAACTCAGTTACTAACTGAGTTACAAGATTATAAAAGTAACTAATTACCAAGAAAAATAACTACTTAGTTACTTTTTTCATTAAAGCATGCAAGAATAACTACAATAGTGAAATATAAATGACTAATGACTGGAACATAATAAAATGTATGTCTAAATGTTTTTTTATAAACCTGAATAATTTAAATAAATAAGCACTTAACAGGAGGAACTACTAACAGGAACATTACACTTATCTAGACTATTAAAAGGTCACTGTGTGATGTTTAACAAGACCCCAATCAGTTAAAATTTAAAATTGCAAATAGAAACACCTGTAAAGGTTCCCGAGCCTTTAAATGGTTTCTCAGTCTAGTTAAATTACAGAAATGAATGTAATTTTGCACAGTATTTTAATTTTTCCAGCTTCACATCTATTAATGGTTAAATAAATAAATAAAATCCTTTAAAATGACACTAGAAGAGGCACACGCCTGATGGAGGGCTTACATTTACTAACGTGGGTCAGACCCAACCACAGAAGAGCTGAAGCTGGGTGGTAAACACACACAGGTAGTTCTGATAACACCTGAGCTCCATGACGTCTGAGACTGATGCATCAGTGTTACAGCGGGACTAAAGACATGATCAGAAACAGGTTACAGCTGGATGATCTAAGAAGGTAGAAGATCGTGACGTCTGAGCGGTGAACTGGTGAGCGGACCTTCGGGACGTCCCGCTGTCACGCTAGGGCACGGCTGCAGACCCGCAGATTCGTTGCCGATTCGCTGCTGCAGCAACGAATCTGCGGGGGGGTCTGCAGCCGTAGATATTCATCACGACTTCCTCATTCTTCACGGGCCGTGATGCGCTTGGATGAAAAAAACATCTACCTCTTAAGCTCCTGATCAGCTGATGACAGCTTCAACACACCGCGCAGCTTAACGCACGCCTTTCCTTATCAGCAACAGAAATGACCGTTTTCTTAAAAGAAGACAGTAATTAATTAGTTTGCTTGTTACAGAAATAAATATTTTTATTTATTAACGTGGTTATTTTAAACAGCGTTATTCCCATCACTGCTCTGTTTGCGACTGAGACAGTGAGAACACCGAGGGTCTCCGCCCACCCGGCCAATCATCATCGTGTTTGTAAGTGCGTTATGACGCCTCTCTCTCCCTGCTGCAGCTGAAGTGTGGCGGTCAGAAAGCCTCACACTGTTGCTCAACGTTCGACCCGCACATAGTAACGCACAACCTCCCGTCCCCAGTAACGGTAACGGCGTTGCAGCAGTGGGAAAAGTAATTAATTAGATTATTCCGTTACCTAAAAAAGAACACAGTTAGTAACGCCGTTATATTTAAACAGCGTTACTCCCAACACTGCTCATGTTAGTGTTAGCTTGTTGTTAGCGCTAGGCTAGCTAGAGCAGGTGCTGCAGGGTTGTTTATGATGGTTGTAATTCCACTTACAACCAGTAGAGCAGAGAAGCTGGAAACTGTTTAGTGTTACTGTAATGTTAGTGTCACGTACAATGACCCTAACCGTATTATTCCAGTTAACCTGTTAGGAAACTGATACGCTCACGACTCACCTGCCGGCGTGATGACGTTGGGCTCCTCTTCATCATCGATGTGGACGAGGGTCGCTCGTAGAGTCACCACTCCTTTCCCTTTGCACACTCTGCTTGGGTCCAAATCTAAAAACAAAGATTACAAATCCTGTCATCACGTCTAGCGGTCTTTATCACACTCTCAGAGTCAGCTGGGAATACCGAGTTGTTGCTCCTGCTTCGCTTAAAATCCTCAATTAGTACTGAACCATCGAAAACAGGTCATGGTAGTAATATGCTAAACTAATTGCCACCACGACGCCAGTTATGCTGAATATAAAAAAGGCACACATTATCAGAGTCACATGGCCTGTAGGTTTCTTTGAGTTTGGTCCAAGGAGAAACATCACCTGGTGAGGGAATCAGGTCAGGAGAAACCTTCATGGTTTTTAAAGGTGTTATCCTGACAGCGCTAACGGCTCGAGGACCTGGTTTCACAAACACAAGAAAACAGAGTCAAAAGGGTTTTTTATCGGATACATTAGAAACTCTTAAAAGCATAAAGCTCACTGGTGTTTTAGCTTATTAAATAGGACAGAGGTCTGACTCACTGGGGGTTGAGCTTGATCGTCTGCTGCTCCCTGCTGGAGAGCCCTGAAAGGAAAACATCCTCAACGTTAGGAGGGATCTGGGGAATGATGTACACTGCAAAAACGGGTTTTCAAAAAAGTAAATAAAAAATTACATCTTACTTGGAGTCTAAAAAGAAAAAAAAGTTTTTATCTGCAAAAACTGAATAAAGGTAAAAAAAATAAAAGAATTAAATAAGATGCAAATGTTCTTGTTTTGGGTAATAAAATCTGCCGAAGGGAGAACAATGGCTGCTTGGCTGAAGTTAGCTAAATAATCTGAAGTTAGATGCATTTACTCGAACGGACAGCCACTGAATCAGGTGTGTCGGAACAGAGGAATCACTTTATGTAGCATCAGTTCACACCTGAAAACAATTCCAGCTGATTAATGATCTGGATTCAGTCGGCTAGTTCAGGTATGAAACCAGCAGATTTAATGACATCTTTAAATCCTCCACCATGAACAGCACAGGGCGATGTTAAGGAACCGTTCATGGCTGATGTTCGGTTCCTCTGGTCTGAATCAGTTCACTTTTAGTTCATTTGTAGTTATTTTTCTGTGGTTCAGTATTTCAATTCAATTCAATTCTATTCTATTCTATTCTATTTATAAAACGCCAAATCATGACAAGAGTCGTCTCAAGGCACTTCACATAATAAACATTCCAATTCAGGTCAGTTCATTAAGCAAATCAGAAATAATGTTTCCTATATAAGGAACCCAGCAAATTGCATCAAGTCACTGACTAGTGTCAGTGTCTTTACAGCAATCCTCATACTAAGCAAGCATTTAGCGACAGTGGAGAGGAAAAATCCCTTTTAACAGGAAGAAACCTCCAGAGAATCCTGGCTCAGTATAAGCAGCCATCCTCCACGACTCACTGGGGATCGAGAAGACAGAGCACACACACACACGCGCGCACACACACACACACACACACACACACACGCACACACACACACACACACACACACACCAAGCAATGTGTCTATGGTTACATTGTGATTTCTTAGCAAATATTCTATTTGGCGAGAGATAAACATTATTGTATGTATCCTAGTGAATCTATAATTAAACGGGTAAACTAGTAGTAGCACATCCAACGTCAAGGAAAGCAAAAAGTTATTATCAGGAGAGGGAGAATGTTTAAGTGGTTAGCAGCAGTGTGCTAGACGACGGCCCCCTCCATGACGCCACCACAGCTCAGCAGAACATCATTTCACACACAGAAGACTACAAACACAAACCAAGTGAGACTGTTCTGATTGGTCAAGATTGTTTGGGGGTGGGGCTTCCAGACGTAAATACAGGAAGAGGTTTGCGATTTTTGATCCGGAGTTAGTTAACAGCATTCTCTAACCCTTCTCCCTGAGCTGTTTATGAACTATTTGACCTCTTCAGTGTTTTTATGAGTTGGAGCGTTTTTCGCTATGAGCTGCTGATGTATTTGTGCCCTCCTGCATCCCATAATGCAACACGAACCTGGCTAGAGGTGAGCGTTTAGCTCAAACCAGCAGCGTAAACATGGTCTGTGCTTCAAATTGAAGTCGAATCACATTCACACTGTAAAACCAACCAAAACCATCTCAGGTCTCGGTACGCTTCTGCATCTTGGTCAGATTACCGTGTTTTCTTCTGAGTAAATGAACCGCACCAGCAAGGAAAACAGACCAGGATGCAATTTAAACCAAAGATACACAGATGTGAACGCACACTGAAGCCGTTTGTGGTTCACTTGATCAGAGTTTGTTTCCACGGATAGTCCGCTTCTTTTGGGCTGGTGTGGAACGTCATCCAAACTCTATGGGCCGAACGAACAACGACGCGTTAACGTTCCCTCACAACACATCAACAGTTAAATCAGCGTTTAAAAAGGTCAGAGCATAGAATGCATAGAACGCCTTTTACGCTAACCAGACAGCTTGTATTCAATGCAATAGCTGTAATCAGGAAGGATGAATCTCTAGTTAACTCATTAACTGCCAATGACGACTATAGTCGTTTGCATTTTTTTACTGTGTGGGGGCGTCGGAACGAACCCCCGCACCGTGAGAACAAATATCTCAGCTCTGAAGCCGATCTTCATCCATATACGTCACATGTCACGTGATCAGGAAGCAGAACATCCATGTGTTTGGAGATCGTTTTGGGCCACTACTGTAAAAAAAAAAAAAAGAGGCGCGAACCGGAAAAGCATCTGCCGATTACAGTTCAACAACGGATCATGAAATAACGGATAACGCTCGAAACGCGTGGATTCTTCCTGATGTAAGAGGCGAGTCTCCTCTTTGTTTTGGCGTCGACATCATCCTAGCGCGCAACGTTCTGTGACTCTTACAAAAACAGTAAAAACGCTGGCAGTGAAGAGCTTTCTGATCAGGAAACGGCTGGCAGTGAATAAGTTAAGCAGGTATGTTTACCTCATAACAGCATAAAGTACAATCACAACTGCTTTAGTATCTCTGTTCCGGTTTGAAGACTGAACTAATTTATGCTAATCTGAGCTGCGTTTTTGAAGCATGCGAAGGCAACAACAAAGCCACCAGAGAGAAGCTTTGAAACAACTCCCAGCTGCTCTGCGGGCCTCTGGGTTTGTCCGGGTCTGATTTAGGAGGCGTTCCTTTTGCAGCACAAATGGGCCATTCCCATCCGTACCGGGTCGGCCCAGGCCGGGTAGCCCCAGCCTGGCCCGGTTGATTCCACACATCCTTGTCTTAAGCCCATGTGGGCTGATTCTACCCACCAATCAGAGGCTTGCTCTAATGGAAGGTGTGAATTTGCTGTCAGCAGTGGGTGTGTTGGCCCTGGTCGGCCTGAAGCAGACCCCCTCGAGAAGAGGGCTGAGAATGAGCCTTGGTTGGCCCGGAAAAATACCAGGCCACCCAGATATGTAAACAACCTACGCTACCCGGCCCGGGCCGACCCGGTACAGATGGGAATGGCCCATAAGAGACAAGCTGGACAGTTGGGATTCAAACACTCACAAAGTTACTTGAGTCTAAAAAACAAAAACACTTCGGGTTTTTGCTTTAGGGATTCGTGAGCAGTGTTGAAATATGCATGAGTAACATGATCCGTAGGGGTTTATTTAGATTTTTATCTGCTTTTGAAGGGATGCTGCCTTTTTCCATTGTGCATGTCTGCCTTGTGTTTACAAATGACAGTAATCGATGTGCAGAACCGGCCAGGTTCCCCGGATGTTCCACATGGAAAACTCCACTAAAGGGCCTGAATGGACTCGGGGGAAATGGGAGTGATTCTAAACAAGACTCAAGGCACCAGAGAGGAAAAACCTTCAGCCTTCGTGATGAGCTGTCAATGCGCACCGGAAAATCTCACTAGTGTCACGGTCCAAGGCAGAATCCGCGAAATGGAATTTACCATAAAATGTGGAAAGTTGTGGATTTTTTTTTAAATGCGGGAAGTGATCAAAAGATCTGAATGAGTATTTTTTTGTAATAAAGAAATGATGTTTTAGCTGCAGCCTCCGTAGCCTGTGATGGGAGAAGGTCATCACAGTGAGCTGAGGAGAAGTGCGCTGCAGGTGAATTAATGCGGAGCAGAAGGTTTACAGCAGAGAAATTTAACTGTGTAGATAACCCCATCACATTCAGCAATGGTGCCCCCAAGGGGTGGCCATGGCCACCTCTAGAAAATTGCTGGCTCCCCCAGCAAAAGCCAGTGTTAATAAATCATATTTAATGTTCAAGCAAACCATAAATTGATCTTAATTATTCAAGAACAGTTCATCAGAACAGTGAGGAAGTGAGCTAGCATTAGCTTCATTTAGCTAACTCAGCTAACAGTTAAATAAACAGGACATAACCGTTACATAAATAGTAGTTTTAAACTCAAGTGTGAATGAATGACTGTTTCTTTACTCTCACTTAATGGATGTATTTCAATTTACAAAACCCACAGAGGTGTTGAGGATTAACAAGTTACAGGCAGATTTTTAAGCACCTTAGTCAAAGTTTTGTTGAACTGGGACTCATATTGCTTCATATCTGTAGAAAATAGTCAATGAAATTAGTTTCTTTTTAATTTTCTACTGAATCTTTGAGGGTCTGTTAATCCACAATATAATAAAGACACTTGTTATGTAGAAACAATTTGGTTAGATCATTAATTAATCCCCAAATCTGGCTTTCTGAAGCCGTATAGTCTAAAAAAGACCATCCATGATTTAGTTTCCTGAGGGACGCCTGCATCCTGTTATAAACCCTCAGGTGCTGAGTTTACAGCACACGGAGAGCTGCAATAAAGTCCAATCATAGATATAAAGAAGATGACAGGATGCAGCACAGTATTAGCACACGAGAGATCACACCACCGGGCCTTTTTAGGAAAAGAAAAGTGTGAGTGGTGCAGAGTCCACTCAGCCTGGAGAAGAGAAGAGCCGTGCTGGATCCCAGCCACGGATAAATAGGAGAATAATATGATTAAAGCCCAATAATGACTTTATAATCCAGCTCCTGCAGATTAAAGTTAGGTTTTGAGTCAAAAGCTCCTAATCCAAACAGAAATACGTACTTGTTGATGTGCATGGAAAGTTCTCGATCCGAAGGGATTCAGGTCTTTCTGAAGTACTCCATAGGTTCCTATCTGAGCTGTGAGGGTCTCATCTGGGCGGGACAGTCCTAGCATCGGCCTTGACCCTCCCTATCTAGAAGGTCTGTTTGTTGTTGGACAGCAGACGTGTCCAGATAGACCTGTCAGCACCTGCCACCTTGGAATGTGGCACCTCCTCAACAACTGCAGAGCAACAACAAAATCCTTCTCTCGCTTTGAAATACGATGAGGACGATAAATCGCTGCTGGAAGACTTTCTCATCTCTACGGTTCTTAAAAACCCCTTCTGTCTATACAATTACTGTATAATAACGACGGTGGCACAGGAGTTAAGTGCTCGCCCCGTAATCGGAAGGTTGCAGGTTCGAGCCCCGCTCAGTCTGTCGCTGTCGTTGTGTCCTTGGGCAAGACACTTAACCCACCTTGCTTGCTGGTGGTGGTCGGAGGGA